AAAAGACTACTCTCCAGTATTTGTCACAGGCATCAGTTTATAGAACTCTCTTGCCATCAGAGGGAATTTGCAAGGGTTACAAATCTTGTAATTTTTGCTTAACATTCTGAATGGCCTTGGTTTAGGCTGTTCCCTAATTCAGAGAATCTCTTTTTAGTATTTTTCTCAAAAGATTAGTGCACTTTTTGAGCTTTGGGACAAAATCTTTGAGATAATTCATGATGCCAAAGAATTGCTGGACTTGCTTTTTTTTGAAGCCTCGGTTTGGGAATTTCAGCAATTCTTATAAAATGTGAGGATTTGGTTGATATTTTCCTTGGATTATATGCATTATAAGGAAATCTATTTCCGACTTGAATACTTGCATCTTTTTTTTTTTTTGAAATCATGACTCCATATTTCAAGACTAATTCTGGGAACCATTGGAAGAGCTACAAATGGCTTTCTTCTGTTGGGTTGAATAAGAGAATATTATATATGTAGATAAGAGCCTGATCCCAAATAGATTGGAAGATTTTGATCATGGCCTTTTGAAATAGTGATGGAGCTATTTTGAGCCAATTAGTAGAACAGTCCAATGATAATGATGATTGGGTATGCAGAATCTTGTTTTCGATTTGTCTTCTAAGCTTATACCCAATTACCAAAATCTTGCTCCAAGGTAAAATTTTGAAAAAATCTTTACTTGGGCTAGGCTTGACAAAATTGAATTCTTATTGAGCAAAGGAAATTTGTCATCAAGTAGAAAATGATTAAGAGGCTAATAGTTGATGACTAATCTTAGCTTGCCTCTGACTTTCTTCGCTCTTTAGTTCACATAAAAAGCCTGGCATGCCCAATGAGAATTTGATGGCTCAATCAATCCTTATTGCAATAATTCTTTGCATTTTTTCTTTGCTAGGTTTTGATGTTTTAAATTCATGCTTGAGTGACTTGCTTTGGTGGGATTAATATCTTTATTAAGCTTTCTTGAGAGGATAGTCACTATATCTATCACCAGATTGATTGCATTTGAAAACACTTCCCTGGATTTGGTTTAGCATAGGGATTTGTAGTTTTGTGCCATTCTTTCGCATCAATCACTTTCTGCTTTCCAACTGCTTTCTCTTCCTTGTACCAGTCATTGTGTGGAGAACTATCATAAACTGATTTATTCTTGTCGTTGAATGCTCTATAATTATCACCGCTGTAACTTTTACGAAAAGAATCAAGTCTGTTCTTTTCCCACAACATCAATTCAGCTTTTAAGGCAATA